ATGCTCCATTTCTAACTTCTGTTTTCTAATTTGGTGCTCCAATTTTAACGAAAGCAGCTCTTCCTCTTTTTTCATTATATTCAACAAACGCTCAGTCTTTTTCGTCTCCTTATCAAGCTTTTGCTTGTCTACTTTACTACTTGCTGTAGAGCGCACTATGTCCAATTTTTCATAGTCGAGCATGGACTCCTTGCTCATGCACCTCCTTTTCACAGACAAAGGAGTCGATGTTTGTGAACAATTAATTTCATCTTCTTGAAAACGTCTCTTTTTAACATCAATCACAGAAGATGCCGTGTTCAAAAGGAATGAAACCTCTGATTCCTGAATCTCAGAATTAGAAGTTACAACATTTCTGAGGGACTCTGTTGATACTTCTTCATCATCAAAAACTGCTTCTCGACGTTCTAAAATACAAAAATGATTAGATTATAAATTATTAATAGTATATCTATTTTAAACTTACAACCCGAAAAATACATTACCATTTATTAAATCTTCCGAGAAGTTTGATGAAAAATATGATGGCGCAGTGGCCATTAAATCAGGAACTATAGCGGCTATATCTGGGTCCACTTCAGCAACATTTATTGGAACATTTAAGTTTCCCGTTGCCATTACATCTTGCTTTTCCTGAGTTAAAGCATTTCTCTGCTGCAGCTTCATGTTGCTCCACATTTTTTTTAACTGTTTAACCGACCTCTGCAAAAAAAATTTTTTTTAGAAATTTCAAACTTTAAACATTTAATTTGTTTAGCACAATTAATTATTTTTACCTGCTCTGCAATAAGTACTGAGCCATTGTATTTTTCCTCGATTTCACTCCACGCAGCCTCTTTAGCTTTCAAGGTGGAACAATCGCTTTTGCGATTTTCAATAACATGGGAAAATCTTTTGATAATTTCCAGGAAAAGTTTTCTTTCCGTATTGGTGTAATGCTTTTTAGACATTTTATTACTAAAAAAAAGTTTAATTAATTAGTATTAAAATTTAGTATTATTTATAATAATTTAATTATTTATTGTTTACAAATTTTATATTCCATTATCTTTTGATTTTAATATATAATTTAAGGGACTGAAAGAAGAAGATTTATTTGGATACATTTATTTCTACAAGAAAAAAGAATTTATGTATGAAAGTAGTTATTTTATGTTTATAAACAATTAAAATTTTTTAGCGTACAGCACTTTTTTAAAAACGAAAGTGTATACATTTATATCATCTAATCGCATATATTCTGAAAATTGACAAAAATTATTGTTTTAGAAGTTGTTATTAATTTTTTTTTTATTTTTTACAAATTTTGAAAATTAAAAAATTTGTATGCATTTATAAATTGTATAATTTGGTTTTTTAAAAAAATTTAATAATAATGAAAAGATTTTTTTATTAAAAAAATTTAATAATTAAAAATTAAAATCACATAATTTTTTAAAAATCTATAACAATATTTCAAATAATTTTTCCATATCTTAATAATGGAGAAAAATTTATCTAAATATATTTCAGCAGGATTAAAAACATTTCACTTTTTCTCCTTTCAGGTAGTCATTTTTGTATCCTTTTACTTTTATTGCGGGTACTTTTTTTCTGAAAATATTGAGATATTGCTCGCGTTAAGGGACTTAATCCTACCCCCAATAAAATCCAGATGTTACATACATTTTGCTCATCTCATTGAAAGCAGTAAGAAGTAAGAATGATTTTACTTTCAAAAATTAAAATATATATTTAACCTTAAAGAAATTATTTTAGAAAAATTATATTTCTTAGAACAAAATAAAGTTTATTCGTTTATAACAAATTTTCAACTTTGCTTCTATTTATTATTTTCATAATTCATTACTTTTCTGACAATAAAGATAAGATATAAACAAAATTACCAGTCTTTTTAAATTGAAAAAGGAAAAATAAATTGTGTTCTACAAATTGTACGCCTAATTTTAAAAATATTAATGTTAATATATTGATAATTATTGTGAATATTTCACTATTATGTATCATTATTTATTAAATTTTAAATATATTTCATTCGTTGATTATTAAAAATTTTTACTTTTAAGCAATATTAAATATATTCACAGGTTCATATTTTTGAATTTTGTTTTATTACTGTTTTTTATTACAAACATTTAATAAAAAAAAATATTTTACAAATTTACTTTTTCAAATGATTACACACAAAAATTTTATAAATGACATTAAAAATATACTTACATAATTAAATCACTTGTTCACAATAAAACAGTTTTTAACCTTATACACAAAATTTATATTTATATTTGTAATTATTATTTACTATAAAAACAATTATAATAACAGAATGAACTGTTCGTTCAAACGCTGAAACGAAAAACTCAAATTGAAAACAACGCAGGTATAAATATTCCTTGGCGCATTGAGGCGAATTTTCAAAACCATTTCTTATTGGTGGATTCAAGAGAATATTTACGGAAAAAGCCGATCGTTCAATAAGATCATCTTAAGCATTTGCTTGGTCAAGAAATTCTTAAGCTGCATTTCCTTTACCAAGCAATTGCTTATTTCTGACTATGAATATATATGGTCTTAAGCTCGACTCATTCGAATAAGACCATCTTGATCAAGCAACTCTTAAGTCCTTGCTTAAGTCGGAACTATGAATACCGCCCCTAGATTCATTGTGGATTGACTTAAGCCGCAACTTAAGCATTTGCTTAAAGAAGTAAATGCTTTTGATTTTGAGATGCAGAGTCCCATCTTAAGAGTGCCAAGTATTCATAGTCAAATAGGATTTTCTTATTTGACATTACCGGTGAACTTATTTGAACGAAATGAGGTTATGATTTAAAGTCAACGTTTTAGTTGACTTAAGCAATAACTTATTAGTGTATTTATAGTGAAAAAAGTGTTAACTATGGATATAATAGATTATTTAAGTGACATTGAGGATAATATTGATAATGAAGATGGTCCGAACAATATAAGACGTGCAAAACGATACATTCGAGATGCGGAAAATCCTTTTGAAATAGATGAGTGGGAGTTTCAGAGACGTTATCGTTTTTCAAAAGATTCTGTGTTAGTTGGTATTTTGCCTGAAATACAGGCAGGGCTAATTAAACATAATAATCGTGGTTTACCCATTGCACCACAACTCCAACTACTTCTCTGTTTACGATATTTCGCAACTTCAAGTTTTCAGGTAATTTAAAATTTTTATTTATATATAGACCCATATACTATTCCAAATAGAATATTCCTTGTATGAAAAATCAACGATTCTAATTTTTTTTACAGATTTTGCGCTATATAATAAAAATAAGTAACTTTTATTATTAGAAATTAAAAAGAATCTGTAACCTTTACATTTGTTAAACTTGAATATGTTTGACTTATTAGTATAACCTCAAAGCTAAAAGTAGTTTTTAACAGAACTGAAAATATATTTGAAATTGATTTTATCTAATTTTAAATAACATTTGTACAATTTTGAAACAAAATTTATTGTTAAATAATAAAACAAAAATTAACATTTTGTGTTTTTTCTTAAAAATTACATCAAATTTTTTAAAAATAATATATAGATTATTTTACTCTATAAAAGATTTTCTATAATTCTACTTGTTGAATTTTGTTGGCAAATTTTTTTTCGAAAGTTATAAATATTCTTTTATGTGATAGGAGTGTAAAATTTAAAAATTTATTTAATGTTATATTTTCGCAGCTTGTTCTTGCCGACACTATGAAGATTTCTCAATCAACTGTCTCAAGAATTGTTTTTCGTGTCGCCACGTTGCTTGCCAGTCTCATTAATTTATATATTAAAATACCAGCAACTGGTGATGCCCGAAATGAGAATCATCGTTTGTTTAACGTTTTAGGAAGAGGGCATGGAGCAATAGGACTTCCTCGTGTTGATGGAGCGATTGATTGCACTCACGTTAAGTTAGTCGGCACAAGGTTTAACCAGATTGAGGAAATGTTTAGAAATAGAAAAGGTTATTTTTCACTTAATGTACAAGTAGGTATACTAATGATGACTGTGAGGATTTTTTTTAATATTAGTAGAAAATTTATTTTTGACAAAAATTGTGAATAGTTTTTATATTATTGTACAATTTTTTGTAGGCTGTTGTTGGACCCCGAATGGAGTTTCTCGACATTGTTCCGGAATGGCCAGGTAGAGCACATGACAGCCGTATATTTCAGAATTCGTTAATTCACATGCGTTATATTCAAGGACAATTAGATGGGATTATTGTAGGTGATAAAGGATATCCCTGTTTGCCTTTTCTTATGACACCTCTCAGAAATCCTCATACTGAAGAAGAAATCATGTAAGTATTTAAATTGTTTTCACATCAATATAAGTTAATTTGCTGAAGATAAAACTTGACATTTGTGTAATATTAAATTGTTTCAGGTATAATGAAATTCAAATACGAACGAGAATAATTGTTGAGCGAACTTTTGGTGTATGGAAGCGAAGATTTCCATGTTTGGCACGGGGAATGTCAACTAAGCTTATTTGTTCAACAACAACTGTTGTTGCATGTGCTGTTTTGCATAATATGGCATTACGTTTCAATGACATATTAGAAGATGATGACTTACAAGAATATGAAGAAGTTCCTGTACCTAATGCAGAAAATATAAATATGGATGGAGAAGTCGCACGTCAGTTACTAATTCACCGTTTATTCAATGGATAATAAGTAATAATTTGGAATAAAAAATTATTTATTTCAATATCATATTTTAAAAAGAAAAACCATTACATTAAAATATTTTATGTACATATTTCAATAAAATCTTTTCTTCACAATAAATAACATTGATAATATTTTTACAGCTTTACTTCATTTCACTTCAGAATAAAAATTTGTTTAATAATCTTAAATGTAAATATAAAATTAAATATAATATGATATAATAAAATATAATTCATAATATAATGGAATGTATAAATATATAGTTAAATATAAATAAATCTAAAAATAGTATAAAATCTTGTGTAATAAATTGTCTACTAAAATATAAAATGTTCACTTAATACTGTTAATTGTACTAGCTTTGGAATAAAATAATTTAAAAGAATAGGAAATAAGGTTTTTAAAAAAATAACATAAGTTAAAAACTCGAAGCATAAACAATACATCTCAATTCACAATGGTGTAAGCTCTATTGCCTGTGTTAACCGCATTTCCGCCAATTGAGCTTCTGCTTCGGCTTTACGAATTTCTAATTCGTGGATTTTTTTTAAATGCTCCATTTCTAACTTCTGTTTTCTAATTTGGTGCTCCAATTTTAACGAAAGCAGCTCTTCCTCTTTTTTCATTATATTCAACAAACGCTCAGTCTTTTTCGTCTCCTTATCAAGCTTTTGCTTGTCTACTTTACTACTTGCTGTAGAGCGCACTATGTCCAATTTTTCATAGTCGAGCATGGACTCCTTGCTCATGCACCTCCTTTTCACAGACAAAGGAGTCGATGTTTGTGAACAATTAATTTCATCTTCTTGAAAACGTCTCTTTTTAACATCAATCACAGAAGATGCCGTGTTCAAAAGGAATGAAACCTCTGATTCCTGAATCTCAGAATTAGAAGTTACAACATTTCTGAGGGACTCTGTTGATACTTCTTCATCATCAAAAACTGCTTCTCGACGTTCTAAAATACAAAAATGATTAGATTATAAATTATTAATAGTATATCTATTTTAAACTTACAACCCGAAAAATACATTACCATTTATTAAATCTTCCGAGAAGTTTGATGAAAAATATGATGGCGCAGTGGCCATTAAATCAGGAACTATAGCGGCTATATCTGGGTCCACTTCAGCAACATTTATTGGAACATTTAAGTTTCCCGTTGCCATTACATCTTGCTTTTCCTGAGTTAAAGCATTTCTCTGCTGCAGCTTCATGTTGCTCCACATTTTTTTTAACTGTTTAACCGACCTCTGCAAAAAAAATTTTTTTTAGAAATTTCAAACTTTAAACATTTAATTTGTTTAGCACAATTAATTATTTTTACCTGCTCTGCAATAAGTACTGAGCCATTGTATTTTTCCTCGATTTCACTCCACGCAGCCTCTTTAGCTTTCAAGGTGGAACAATCGCTTTTGCGATTTTCAATAACATGGGAAAATCTTTTGATAATTTCCAGGAAAAGTTTTCTTTCCGTATTGGTGTAATGCTTTTTAGACATTTTATTACTAAAAAAAAGTTTAATTAATTAGTATTAAAATTTAGTATTATTTATAATAATTTAATTATTTATTGTTTACAAATTTTATATTCCATTATCTTTTGATTTTAATATATAATTTAAGGGACTGAAAGAAGAAGATTTATTTGGATACATTTATTTCTACAAGAAAAAAGAATTTATGTATGAAAGTAGTTATTTTATGTTTATAAACAATTAAAATTTTTTAGCGTACAGCACTTTTTTAAAAACGAAAGTGTATACATTTATATCATCTAATCGCATATATTCTGAAAATTGACAAAAATTATTGTTTTAGAAGTTGTTATTAATTTTTTTTTTATTTTTTACAAATTTTGAAAATTAAAAAATTTGTATGCATTTATAAATTGTATAATTTGGTTTTTTAAAAAAATTTAATAATAATGAAAAGATTTTTTTATTAAAAAAATTTAATAATTAAAAATTAAAATCACATAATTTTTTAAAAATCTATAACAATATTTCAAATAATTTTTCCATATCTTAATAATGGAGAAAAATTTATCTAAATATATTTCAGCAGGATTAAAAACATTTCACTTTTTCTCCTTTCAGGTAGTCATTTTTGTATCCTTTTACTTTTATTGCGGGTACTTTTTTTCTGAAAATATTGAGATATTGCTCGCGTTAAGGGACTTAATCCTACCCCCAATAAAATCCAGATGTTACATACATTTTGCTCATCTCATTGAAAGCAGTAAGAAGTAAGAATGATTTTACTTTCAAAAATTAAAATATATATTTAACCTTAAAGAAATTATTTTAGAAAAATTATATTTCTTAGAACAAAATAAAGTTTATTCGTTTATAACAAATTTTCAACTTTGCTTCTATTTATTATTTTCATAATTCATTACTTTTCTGACAATAAAGATAAGATATAAACAAAATTACCAGTCTTTTTAAATTGAAAAAGGAAAAATAAATTGTGTTCTACAAATTGTACGCCTAATTTTAAAAATATTAATGTTAATATATTGATAATTATTGTGAATATTTCACTATTATGTATCATTATTTATTAAATTTTAAATATATTTCATTCGTTGATTATTAAAAATTTTTACTTTTAAGCAATATTAAATATATTCACAGGTTCATATTTTTGAATTTTGTTTTATTACTGTTTTTTATTACAAACATTTAATAAAAAAAAATATTTTACAAATTTACTTTTTCAAATGATTACACACAAAAATTTTATAAATGACATTAAAAATATACTTACATAATTAAATCACTTGTTCACAATAAAACAGTTTTTAACCTTATACACAAAATTTATATTTATATTTGTAATTATTATTTACTATAAAAACAATTATAATAACAGAATGAACTGTTCGTTCAAACGCTGAAACGAAAAACTCAAATTGAAAACAACGCAGGTATAAATATTCCTTGGCGCATTGAGGCGAATTTTCAAAACCATTTCTTATTGGTGGATTCAAGAGAATATTTACGGAAAAAGCCGATCGTTCAATAAGATCATCTTAAGCATTTGCTTGGTCAAGAAATTCTTAAGCTGCATTTCCTTTACCAAGCAATTGCTTATTTCTGACTATGAATATATATGGTCTTAAGCTCGACTCATTCGAATAAGACCATCTTGATCAAGCAACTCTTAAGTCCTTGCTTAAGTCGGAACTAT